TTGCTTTTTTATTTAATATTAAATTTTTTTATTTTAAAGAGAATAATAAGTTTGAAAGAAGTAAGAGCAAGACTACCAGCTACGGCTTTATAATTAATTGTTTGCCACTGGAATGTCGTTACTTTATCAAATTAATAAAGAATAATACTTGCTTACTGTTGCTCACAAGCTAGGCAGACATCTTAGCACAATGATATCTGCTCTGACCTACTTATGGAACAATCAAATTGGCCCCAAGTGTGGTTATTCTATACACAAAGCCCGGTGATAAAAAGCACAAAAGCAGGTGATAGAGAGACACAGAACTCACTGGTGAATCCGGGCTCTGCTGAAAGGGCCGGTGTAACAATCTGATTCCTCCAGCTCTGGAAATGCTGACTTGTCCAGAACCATTGGGTTTTGGGACATCCACTTTTTGATTCTCTTAAAATAATTCTGTACCCTGGAAGGAAGCCACATTTCAGAATTAGATTAGGTTGTGTTCCAGAGCCAGGCTAACCGTCCATGACAGTTCTCCTCCAAAATACCAGAGAAAGAATTCCAGAAAGACAGATAAGCAACACCACACAACCACTCACTCATCCATGTGCATTGGTTCTGGTCCCACACTGAAGACATCACTAGCAAACTAAACCAAGAACTGCATTCATTTAAACTCTCTCTGAAAATAAATAAATAAACTCCAAAAAACTATGTATGCACTTGAATAAATGTATGAAAACATCCAAGAATCATTATACACAAAAATGGCAGTGGGACAGAGTATAAAAAGACAAGTGAGATATGTTCACCAAAGCTGTGTATATATCTGTGTGCATATGTCTCTCTCTATATGTAGAGATGGATTACCCTCTCATTCTTTTGGAAAGAAACCGGCGTTGTGCGCTACACACAGGGAGACTAAAAGGACAGAAGAGGCTCACGCACACTCATGCAGTAGAACGGCATGTCACAGTGTGGTAGGAAGATGAAGGATTTGTGAATCAAGCAAAACAGGGTTAGAGCAGAGCTCTACCTTGTACAAAATGAGGGAACTCACACAAGTTACTCAGTTTTTCTTCCCTTAGGGTCTGCAGTCAGAACATAAAAATACTGACTTTGCTGGGGAGTTACAAATTGGCTCTGAACTGTAAAACTAATCGTTACTAATAAGGAAACGAGTCACATTTTTGCTATATACTTAAGATTTTCAAAGTGTGAATGACGTAGACATGTTGTTAAAACGCAGATGTTGATGTATTAGGCCTGGGGTGGAGCCTGACATTCTGTGTTCCCAAGTCGCTGGGAGGGGATGCTCGTGCTGGTGTGTACCATGCATACTGGGCGTGATGGATTTGCCACAGACTCTGGGCATATCCTACGTCAGGGCTCTGTTTCAGGAAATCTGATATGGGGACATTTTGGCTCAACAGATGACAGTCATAACTACAGGATACATAAATATGTACTGATTAGAATTACATTCATCTTATAGAGAATGAAGAAAGATGAGATTGTCTTCAGAAGTTCTGGAAATCTAAATTCTAAATTACCATAATATCTACATACACTAAAAAAAATCATGCCATGCTTACACTCCCTGAGATTCTCTGGACAATTTTTGGCATCTTCTACTATACTAATTCAAAGTAGTACAACAGAATATGTTCCCACAGAGCTACAACACATACAATATTTGTTTAACCAACACTTTGGATTTCAAGAAAAGAAAAATTAGGGCAGTTATAAGCAAGCACTAGACATTACATCCTAAGAATCATTTCATTTCAAATTTATTATGGTAAAATTACGACTTGAATTTTGAAATAAAATGAAATCATGATATAAAGCTTAGAATGTGAAAATCTTGATCCTTCCTTTGCCAAGGAAGACTATTATTTAGACAGCAGGCCACTTTTGGATTTGGAGGAACCCCAGCGTGCATTTCACATCTAGAACCATAAGGAAGCAGTATCAGATGTGCTCATTTTGCTGCTTCTCATTATAAAGACAGCGTCCTAATTCATGAAATATCACTACTTCCCAGAGGCCAGTGCTCAGACATGTAGAAAACATTATGTAGACTATAAAATAACTACTTCAGTTTTTAAAATTTAGCATTGCTTTTAAAAAATGGAATAGCAGTGTCCTGCTGCTTAATTTGCCAGTCAGAAATTGAACCACGTTTCCAGTCTTTCAACTCCAAGTTCCTGAAATCTAAAGAGAGGAAGGAATCCCATCTGTGCTATTTCATTAGATGATCACAGAAGTCAAATAAAAGCAGATATTCCAACTGTGATTAGAAAATGTTGGTGCACTATAAGACACAAAAACTTACTACCTGTGACAAAATCACAAACAAGAAATTTAAAATTTTTAAAAGATATGAAAGAAAAGGACTTTCACATCATCATGTATGCTATTAACCCCAAATGCACAATATTATCAGTAAGCTGTTCACCTGTATTTCTTGTGAAGGGGTGAGTGATATCTGAAAGTGAAGTTGTCAATCATGGATTTGACTACCAGGATGAGTAGATCCAGTTTAATTTTTTTGACCCTCAGTTTTCTCATCTTTTAAGTTAAAAAATATTTGAAGAACTAAATGGATAATATATTGTCTTATAATGCACAGCATGCAGGATATACTCAAATATTTGTGATCATGAGACAAAGGAATATTAGTACTATGCTTTGTATTGCTAAAGCTGTCATCACTATGTCACCAACTTAATCTAATAGGTTATCTGAACCTTAATAATCATTTATCACGTTGGGCTTTTTGCAGACTCCATGTGAAGGTGAATTCTAATACAGCTTTATAAAACAGGGTTTGCCAGTATCAGTGGAAAGCAAAGAGAAGTGTATGGAAATCTAGATTAAAGGGTTAGAAGAACTGGGTTAAATCACACACTTGGCCAAGCCAGAGCATGGATGGGGTTCCTATAAGGGAATCGTTTCTTTTTACCCATCTTCAAAACCCACTATCGGGGCTGAGGATTTAGTTCAGCGGCACAGTGCCTGCCTGGCAAGCGCGAGGTCATGAGCTTCATTCCCAGTACTGGAAAAAAACCAGAAAAATTAAAAAACAAAACCCACTATCTTTGTTCTGCCTTCCGTGTGGGCCATTTTGAAGATGCTTTAACATTTGAGTGTGAGAACAGGGTATACATGAAAAATAAATTGCAGCAATAATGAAACTATTGTTATTTCCTCTCAGCCTGCCTGGAGAAATGATGAGCTTCAAAAGCCGGACAATTGCCTGAGCACTGTTCCCACCCCCCACCTTGGGTGTACTGGTGATGTGAACCATGCAGAAGGCAATGTTCTGGCTTCAGGAAAGGAAATGCACAAGTGGGTTGACGTAGGTGTATTTGATTTTAACTTTCCACTTTACAAAATAGGCACAGACCACGTTTTGCAATGTTATATTCATAATGGGTTTACACCATAGACATCAGCATGCACAAACACAAACACACAACCCTGAATTTTTCCTCTACAAACATAAATTAAAAAAAAAAACAAACAGAATCAGTCATTTTCTGAACTGAATGTTTACATTTAGGTAAATAACATTTATTTTTTTCCCTTGAAAATATTATAACATTTTATAAACTTCTTTATCTGTTACCCACCCGTTTTGTGAGCATACAGAGCCAAGGAACAGGGAAAACCACTTATGGTGAACAAAATGTAAAGGGGTGGCACAGTCAGGCGCAAGGTACTTTGACAATGACTTGAGACAAGCCACAGAGAATAATGCGCATAAGTGAAAAAGCACATCGACACTTCCTGATATAGTGTTCATCTTTCTAGCTTACTCGTAAGGTTGACTAAACTAGGAAAACCTGCTGTTTTCCACTATTTACAATGATTCTTTAGAATCTAATATAATACATATTTATTATGCATTCTCCATGCAAGTTCACTTTAAAACTAAACTGACAATTAATATAAATAGACTTTTGTTGAGATTATTTTATTTTTTTATTTTAAAGAAAATAGCACAAAGATTTTATTTTTTGTGAGTCCCTGCAAGAAACATACCTGTTCAATATGCAGTATAGCCCACTCACTATGGGAAGTTACAATGTCTCACACTAGTTCTAAGGCAAAACACTGAAGTTACCAAAATGATCTTATCAACTGTCCAACACAGAGGAGGCAAATACATACAAGAAAATAAAGAAAACTGATAGTCATAAATTCATGCATGCAATGGTCCAATGACTTTTGTTTTATTATATAAAAATGACTGAAAATTTATTGCATAGACCAGGACCGAATATTCACATAGGAAATGATGAAAATTCACTCTGAATCAGACCATCAACTTGACAGAAATAAATGATTTCATGAAGAAGCATCATTAAAGTTTTAAAAAGTCATCTTAGTACTAAGTTTTGTAATGTTCATTCTAATTTCAAAGGTCTTTTCTTCTCCATGATTTTCTTTTCTTATTGTTGAATTCTAACACACATAAATTGAATGTTTCAAAGAGGCTCACATTTTCCCATAATGATTTCCAAATTTTTAATTATATTCAGAAATTTTCTTTGGCAAGAAACAACCAGACTTCTCAAGCATGTTCCTAAAATTCAGGCTTTGTAGTTTTCTAGCTTTTGTGTAATTCTGACTTGGAATATCATCTACATCATTCAGTGGAGTGTACTATGCCTCACTCTCATGTTTTGTCTTTGTTAATTGATACTCCTGCAACGAGTAAGAAAACAGCCAAATATATGAAATATTTTGGGTGAGCAGTCACTGAATGGAAGTCCATTTCTCTCAGTTAAATAGTGCCAAGGTGGTTGAGGTGGAAAAATTTCTTCTAAGAGCTGATACTTTGAGATAAAATTCTTAAAAGCAAGTTTATTTTTTATAGTAGGATAGGAGAGGCAACTTAAAGTGGTAGAATACCACTAGGTCTAAAAAACAAAGATGCCCAGCCTTTGGTAAACCTCTGCATGAATCAGGATGTCAGTTTTAAATAAAAGCTACAGGTTAAATAAGAGAAATGGATTGAGTGACCCGCATACTTGCTAGATTTCTTGTTCTACTATTCTGGCCTGCCCTCATTTACCCAGTGGTCCTGGCTTTCTAGATATTTTGAAACTTGTCACCTCTTAAGATGGTAATGTGCAATTAAAATCCTCCTACAACACGGTGATGGAATGTTACAAGAATAGCAACAATAAATACAATAGTAGTAAAGAGATTATTTGATTATAAACATGGTTCCATTTGGTACAAGTCATTTCAGAAATTACTTGATGAAATCAATAGAATTTTCATCCTAAAGTTTGCAATTGCTGATATGGGTAATCAAATGTCTTTTTTCCTAAATGACAAATTACTCATGAAGAAATTATACATCACCCACCAACCTGCCCATTGATTTGCTCCTCCCATCAGTATAATAGCATTTTTTCCTGGAAAAGAAAAAAAGAAATCAGCTGAAGAAAGTCACAGGAAAATGAAACCAGTAAGTGACATTAAGTAATATTGAATATTTCAATAAACCAAGTTCCATGTACTAAAAGATCTTGACATTTGAAGTAAACTTTAGACTATAACATGAAAATCAATTAATATACATCATTTTCACTTCAGAATCTGTTACTCATAACAAAAACTCTTTAAAAATCAATAGGCCCTTTGAATATATTATTTTAATTCTCTTTTTAAAGCCAGTACTCTGCCAGCCATTGTACACTAACCAGATTATTTGGTTCCATGTTATATGAAGTCTTCTGTCCATCCATCTACCCATCCATCCATCCACCCATCCATCCATCCATTCATCCATCCATCCACCCATTTATCCATTCATCCATCTAAACATAAAAACGATAATCTCTGCCCTCAGGGAGCTTCTTTTGCTCTTAAGATAGCAAGTGGCCAGTTATAATAAAGCATGATAATATGGAAAGCACAGTTTTCTGAAGTGTCCAGGAAGGGACCTCAATTCATTTTTATAGGTGGAGGAGGAAGGAGGTGGGAGTCCGGAGGATGTGTCAAGAGTTGACTCTTCAGCCATGGTTAGGAGTAGACTTCTAGATAACGTGGTTCTATCTGGCACTTTAGACATGGTAGTGTGTTTAAGATGGTGAAGGGGCAAGCACAACAGTTGTGTGACTGACAGAACTGCAAATAATTAGATTACAGCTAAAGTATCTATTGAGCATGAAGGGTGGTCAAGAGAGAAGCCCTGGGATGAACAAGATACACATGGTGAAGGGTCCAGGACCAATGCTAAACTAAGGGTTTGATATGGAAGTCAGTGGGGAGCCAGTGTTCTAAGTGGGGCACAGCATGCCTGGTCTGAGGGTAAGTAAACACTCTGTGGAAAACGGTAATTTACCCCCTAAATGATTTTCTCTACAGCTTCAGGCTGGATTAACTGAGAGTTATATTTTTGTCCTTCAAGTCCTGAAAGCATTTTGCTCTGAACAAACATTTACTGAACAATGTTTTCAAAATAGCAATGTCGGGGGCTGGGGATTTAGCTCAGTGGCAAAGCGCCTGCCTGGCAAGCGCAAGGTTGTGAGTTCAATTCCTGGTACAGGAAGAAAACAAAACAAAACAAAACAAAACAAAAAAAAGCAATAGCAACAACGACAAAAGGCCTGTAAGTGTAGAAATTGATTGTAAATAATTTTTGCCATCAGAAAGAAATCCAGCATCTGGAGTAATGAGAGACAATGTTTCCATCACAATCAGCAGTAGGGGGTGTGGTCAGGAAGATTCTGAAGGTGTCTGGGGCATGTGGGTGACCCTTGGTTAAGCACTGTTATCCATCTAGATTTCTGTTAGTCTGAAATATTTCTCTTAAACATTTTAAGACTTCTTGTTTTGTTTTGAAAATGTTTTGGGAGAAATTTTTTTTAAAGGACCAATAGAGAAGGAAGGTCATATAACACAAATGTACATACTTTTTAGATCAACTGTAAGAGCAAATTGTAACTGAAAATTCAAGAAAAGACTTGCCTTTCTCCCTTTTTTAGAGCATGTACTTCAGGAGACTTGTTCTGATAAGCACTTTCTCTTCTCTTTGAAATGAATATATATTCTTTAAAAGATCAGATGGGCCTTTCATCAGCTATAAGACCCAGGATGCCTGCCTGAGGGCCTAGCGCCACCTCTTTGAATGCAATGCTCAGTAGAGAAAGCTCCTGGGAGAGGAGCCTAAATTTGGTGGAAACCATCCTACAGGTATGAACGCTTTTATTTTCATTTTATTTGCCTCCAACCAACATCCCAAGTACCTGGGGAATCTAAGATGATTATGTTTGATAAATGGTGTTGTCAAGACCTCTTACTTAAGGGCTCGTTACTGTTGATCTTGAGAATTCCGATGCAGTGGGCTGCATTTGATGGGTTATATAAAAAACAGGTTATTTTTAGCTTTTCAATCCCTTGTGACTCCCTTTGATGTAGTTGAATGTTTATTTAATAAGATTATTTTCATTTTTCTTTTTTTTTTTTCATTTTTGTGGAACAGTTTTCCTGTGTTGGGGAGGTTTAAATTATATATTCCTGAACAATATATACTCTTTTCTAACCATTAACAACCCGCAGTTCTGCTTTTACTTGCACAAATGAACCTGCAGGACCAAATCCTTTCCTATCTCTAATTCTCCATTTGGTAATTGACTCACAGCCTGCTGTTCCTAACAGCTCTCTTGCCCCTTCATTCTTCCATTCTTAAGATTCTGCTATTTTATTCCCTACATTGGTACTGCACTTACCTACCTACTAACCATGTTAACAATGGCTCAAAATAACAAGTAAATAATGATCTGAAGCAGAGTTTACGGCCAGCTGCAGAAGGTCAGTGGGCACCCTGGAGACATCTGAGCAGTCTAGGGCAGGCCTCTTGGTGGGTGGGACCTGGAGGGCCCTGTTGCTTCAGAAGCTGAGCTACTCCTGTCCATCAGATATATTGGAGTCCGCCATGTTTGGGTTTTGTTTTTGATTGAGGTATCCTTTGCAGAAATGAATGATCTAAGTTTATTCTTATTTGTACAAAAATTGTTCTCCATGTTTTAGATCACCAGGCCCTGTGATTAAGGTACTTGTAGGACAGCAAACTTGAAGAGAAAGTGGGAGGTTGGGGCATCTACTGGGTGACAGAGATGCCTTAAAATACATTGACTCTTTTCATGTGTGAGAGAGCTAAGCATCAATAGGAATCACTTTTGAGTCAAAAGCAAAGTGCCAGAAGTGGGGTTTGATATTTCTGGAATGGAGAAGACACAGGCAAAGTTTCTCAGACATGATAGAAACTATACAGTGTGACCTACTGTAACCTTCCAAACCTCACTGCGTTAGTTTTAAAATTTTACCCTTGATCTTAGCCACAAAGCTGAGAAGTGACAGTAAATTTGAAATTTTAAGTTCCATAGAATAGGTTGCATTTATTTTGGAAGAAAAGTCAAGAAATAAGTGGGCAGAAAATTTAGTTCCAAAAATGTTTTACAGATATATGCAAGCAGAAAGTTTAGATAAAATGTTGAAAATTCAAATCCATATAATAAGGAAGCAAAAAACTTTTGCAGAAAAGGATAAAACTAATAAGGCTTTCTGAGTAAAGGTACAGCTTTTCTTTGGGGGGGAAAATAACAGATCTCAAAGATGAATAAGCACATGTAATATCCCAAGGTAAAGATTTTTATCCATGAAATTTAAAAGATCTTGTTCTAAAAACAGACATATATTTTCCTATTTAAATTCTTTGATATTCTGAATATGGTTAGCTCTCACTTTCCCTGGGCAATCGGTTCCAGGATCTTTTGCATAAAAAGTCTGCAGGTGTCCCAGTCTGTCATGTCAAAAGGTATAGTATTTGCACCTATCCAATGGACCTTCACCTGTGTTAAAACACTTCTAGGTTATGTGTAACAACTAATGCAATGCCAATGCTATATAAGTAGCCGTTGTAATGTATTACTAAGGGAGTAACGAAAAATTGTTTGCATAAGTTTAATATTGAGAATTATTTTCAAATATTTTTCATCAATGGTTGGTTGAATCTAGGGCTTTGGAATTAATGATTAAGGGGGAGCAACTGTATCTTAACTTTTAGACATATTTTCTTGAATGTGGTAAGAGTTGGCACTTGGTGATTAGATTTATCATCATGGAAACATTTTCTTTTATAGCTATGCTTGAATGAATTTTCTCTTTATATGTTGGCTGCAAGTCCAAATTTCAGGTATTCCTTATAGGTAAGAGGAGAGCTAGCTTTGGCAGCACATATAGTAAGCAAATGAGAAGCTGGTTACTAAGGAGCTAGTTAATGCTACATCTGTTATTTAAACTAATATAGAAAGAGGTTCCAAAACAACCCTATGTTCCAACTTTTTATGAACTCTTACCATGAACACTAACATCAGATGGAAATTAGGGAAAGACTACACTGCATAACTCCTTTCTGAAATTTACAAAAATTGGAAGGAATATTAAAAGATTAAAATCCCCCCAAAACATGTATCATTAGCATCAGTATCATTTAAGACACTTGTTAAAAATGTATATACCCAATTCTAACCCAGGTTTCATATGCCAGCACCTCTTAAGGTCCAGATCTCATTTTTACTATTCTACTAGGAATTTTAATGTATTGAAAGGACAGAATTACCCTGAAAATTCCAAGAGTAATTACAGTGAGGTATAAATAAAAACCTCAGGAATAAATTTGATCATTAGATATTTGGCTCTTAAGATCCTGTGGAACTAGTATTTGGCATACTAATATTTATATTATTGTATCATGAGATTCCAGTGGTATTTTCTAAAAGTTTCAATAATACAATAACCATAACCTCTGTTTTTAAAAATTTGTCTTGAAAAACATAAAGAAGAAACTTCAGGAAAATCATCAATAAGAGAGATAGTAACTTCAAAGACTTTCTTTTTCCCTTCTTGGATGTATAAGAATTCTTCTTTGAAATGCAGTCTTACCAGGAAATGAAACAATAAATACCATTTTTCAAAAAACCATCTGACTGAAGAAACCATCCTCTTTCAAACCTCCCCTGGAACTGAAGGACACGGTGGTGTTCAGCCCAAGGACATACGCTCTCAGGAAGATAAAGCCAGGTACTCAGACAGGCCTAGGGAATTGTTTTTAACCTACTTGTTCATTCTTTTTCTTTCTTTCTTTCTTTCTTTCTTTCTTTCTTTCTTTCTTTCTTTCTTTCTTTCTTTCCTTCTTTCCTTCTTTCCTTCTTTCCTTCTTTCCTTCTTTCCTTCTTTCCTTCTTTCCTTCTTTCCTTCTTTCCTTCTTTCCTTCTTTCTCTCTCTCTCTTTCTTTCTTTCTTTTCTCTCCTCTCTCTTTCTCTCTCTCTCTCTCATGTGATACTTTTATAGGAGTAATATAGTCATACATCATAGATGATTTCTAACCAAAGGATTAAGTGTGATACTTGTTGAAGACCTTATGAGTATACTAATTATTCTAACACTATAGTTCTTGAAATTGCTTCAAAACAGCAACAGTAAAGGATGAGAAAGAAAGAAAGCTCCTCAGTGGAAAGAGCAATATAAAAATATGCTACTACAGACATTGTGGTCATTGTCTCTGTACATCTTCCCCCTACAGAGTGGTAAAGAGAAATAACCAGGGTGGGGGCACACTCCTGCAATCCCAGGATTCTGGGAGGCTGAGACAGGAGGATTGCAAATTGAAGCCCAGTCTGGAAAACTTATTGATTCGGTGAAACTCTGTCTCAAAATAAAAATAAAAAAGGATACTGGGAATATAACTCACTGTGAAGGGTTTGAGTTCAATCCCCAGTCCAAAGTTGTCAGGGGAAGAATCTTTTAAATTATGAAAGTCAAGTACGTAGGGTAAAGCAAGCATACATTACTGATTGGGATGGATTAAATGCTTGCTTCCCCACAAAACTTGCATGTTGAAACCTTAATACCTAATAGTATTTGGAGGCAGAGCATTTGGGAGGTGGTTAGTTCGTGGCGGTGGAGCCCCCATAGTGGCATTTGTGTCCTTAAAAGAAGTCAGAAGTCAGTTAGTGCTTCTGTTACCATGTGAGGGTGCAAACCCAAGGGTCCTCAGAGGACCCCAGCCAACCTCGCTGGTACCTGGCCTTGGACTTCTAGTCTCCAGAACTGTCAGAAATCAATGCTACGTAAACACCCATGTGCCAGTTTGTTACAGCTGCCCAAATTGATAACATATGGATGCTGTACATCACTTACGTTCAACGCAGTGCAAAGCAGAACTGCATCTTAGCCATAGGTTCCTGAGCCAGGCTCTAAATCATACCCTTCCCAGCTGCCTGGCACAACCTCATGGGCCCAGGGAAGCACCTCTTTTGCATCAAGTCCAGAGGGTGCTGGTGGCCTCTTTGGGTGAGATGCTTAATGCCAGATTCCTTCAGCCCACACTGCACCTCAGTACTGAGACCCGCTGCAGTGGCAAGTGGGGGAGAACTGCTCCAGCCTTCCTTCTCTCTTACCCTTCAGCAAATTAGTCTGCACATAAATTTAGCTACAACTCTTATGGACAGTGCTGATCACAGAAACTGCAGCAGGGGGAAGGTTCTTGAAATCAATTAAAATCAATTTGGGAATTTTTTTAGAGGTTTTGTCTTGGTATCAGAAAATATGTCATTTTCTTGGGTGCTATACTTCTTTAATGTCCTGTGATTTTTTGTTTGTTTGTTTGTTTGTTTTTTTCCCGTACCGGGAATCGAACTCATGACCTTGAGCTTGGCAGGCAGGTGCTGTGCCCTTGAGCTAAATCCCCAGCCCCTAATGCCCTGTGTTGACATCTGGAAATCAAAGTACAATAATTTTAAGTTCAATCCCCCAGGACAAAGGAAAGAAAAAGCATCTTTTAAATTGTGAAATTTAAATAGTTTGGGTAAAGCTAACATGTTACTGGTTACAATCAGGTTTGGAAAATAAACAATTTGGTAAAGATATAAATAAAATAATAAAAGGGACATGTAACCTTATCCATTAGAAATAATCTAATATATTTTCAATTCTACTCCTATACATTGTATATGGCTAAGTCACATTGCATAAACATCCTTTATATTTTAATTTTAATATTTACTATTTCCTGACAATCACTATGAAATCTTTTACCCATTCATTATAAATGAATGATAATAATTGTAAGTGTATATTCTAATTTACATAGGTCCTCCCTTGTTCTATATAAAGGATATTTATTTATATTACCTAAAATTATAAATTAAAGTTCAGTGAATGTTTTTATATGTTTGAAAACTATATTCATAATATAGAATATAGAAGCCACAGAAAATTCTAAGGTTCTTAGAAAATATTTTCAAATGGAGCTTCAGATGTGTGACTCCCACTATGAATCATGAAGTGACTATTTGTCCTATCTCTGCTGGGTTTTAATGTGAAAGTTTCTATGAAGTTAAAATTTAACTTGTTGTCTTTATCCTGCATGATATCGTGTAGCATGAACATGTACCATTCAAGAAGAAATTACATCAACAGGCAGGTACTATATGTATATCATAATTAACATAAAGTATTTGTAATTAGATATTTAAACATATTTTTAGAAGGTTGTATTTTTAAAAGAGAAAAAAAAAATCCAGAAGTGAAGGAATGTCATTTAGCACAAATGTACACAATCTTTCCAAGTTGTTCTCAAAATGAGCTCAGTACAATTACCTGAATGGTAAGTAATCCTCTTCCATGAACCAGAAGACAAACAGCATCCTGCGGGGCTCTTTTTGGTACTTTTAGGGGCCAAGTTTCATAAAAATGTATAAGCCTTAGAGTCTCCTAAGAAGCATGCCTGTGGTTTGTATAAGGTGCTGAGGAATTGGCTTTATTTCTCCTCCTTTTACTTTGTATTTTTGCCAACACTTGTGAGAGATTATTTGCTTATCTCCTGAATGCCCTATCTATAGAAAGTTTTCAAATTCTTAGCTCAACATGAATGGGAACTACTTTACATAGCTGAGTCTAATCTTGCCAGCAAGATTCTGCAGAAATCAATTTCTGATTTCTCCGCAATGAATGCAGATGTTTCCACCTTTCAAAGCCTGAAATGTTTCAAATATCTAATATGATGAGATCAGTGGTTCATACTTTATCTCAAACAATGTAGGAGTATATAATAAAACTTGAGGTTGTCACCATGTCTGTCAGAGTTGGTCTCTCCCATTTTACACAGTGTGGCATTTTCCTTATGAATTGCACTTTTTAGTGCTCACTTTTACGTATCAGGTTTCTTTACTTGGAATCTCCTTTGGTCAGAGCCTTTTTAAGCCAAGGAGCTGGTGAAGTGTGTTGAACTCCACTTCGGAGTCAGTGCTCCTGTCTTTGCTGTGAGCTCACTTTTCACGTACAGTAGAGTATTGTTGAATTTTATTTTGAGAAATGACGGAGGAATGTGAGACACCCTACCAATAAAAGCAGACCATCTAGGTTGGGAAACAATGGCTTCTCAATCTATGTGTGCCTAAAGGAAGGACTGAAAATCTTTAAGAGGAGCACTCCTCTCATTACCATTTATCCACTGGCGCTGATGACTGAGTTAGGAATCCATGCTGTTGAAATGGCCTGGCAAATGACTGCTGCTAACCACAATAAGAGAGGAACTCTGTATTTGCACATAAGGAGACCGTACATTTATCTTTTGCTTCCACATAAGTAATAAAACATGACATCAATCCATATGAAACAAAAGTGAAGTTGTTCTTGGGGGAACATAAAAGGGAAAATTTGAGGATAACTATTTTACCCTCTCTCTAGGAAAAGCCACATTAAAATGATATAACGTATCTGGAGACCCAGAAAGGTCAGCATACAAGGCAAATGAACTAGAGAGAAAGGAGTCACCCAGGAGATCCTAGGTTTTAGAAGAAAAAACATTTTCTCTGTAGAAAGTGCTGTAAGAGGGTGCAAATCAGGAGACTCAGCTTAGTGCACACTGAGAGAGAATGAAATAAAATTGGGAAGTACCTGAAGGGCATCCTGATGTTCAGCCTCTCCGCATACTTGCACAGCGTGTCCCATGGAATGTGGATTTTAATGAACATAATGTCAGGGTTTGCGATAGCCGGCTGCAGGGGAAGAAAGACAGGGACCACTCTTGAGAACTGAACTGACGAAATCACACTGTCCTTGATTTGGGAGGAAGGAGCACTGCTGCCTTGGTTATGATGAATCAGTTTTTACCATTTGAAGGCTAACTCTTAATAAAGCAAACTATAATAAAAATGTAATAATGAAATTAAAACTGGTAACTTCTGGACACACTCACATCAGTTCCTTAGATGACAATGAGTTCCTAAATTGTTTTCCATTGGCCTGGAGGGAGATCTCTGACACCACAAGCTCCAAATCTCCCCTTAGAACATGAGAACACCTCAAAAAGAGACACAATCCAGGGAGAGGTAGGATGACCATCCTCATGTGGGTAAAAGAAGCTGGAAACCAGGGACTGGGGATTTAGCTCAGTGGCACAGCGCCTGCCTGGCAAGCATGAGGTCATGAGTTCAATTCCAGGTACTGGAAAACAAACAAAGAAAAGAACCTGGAAACCTCTCCGTCTCACTCTAAAACTCTACAAACATCTCTTCCCACGACTTCTGTAAATTCCCCTGCTGTGAACGAATCAATCTGGAGGACAGAGTGGAGTTTCCCGCCTGACTCCGTGATGGCCAACCCTGAATAAAAGCTCTTACTTCTTGCATGAACCATAGCATTGGCTTCTATGTGCCTTGGGCAGAGAGAGCCTTTGCCTGGCTGATATCTTCATTATATACAAACCATAACCACCTTTGTGAATTAGAGAATTTCCTCATATTGATCATTATAAAAGTCAAGACTTGCCAGTCAGAACAATTATAATCAATTAAAACCTTCAAGGTATTCTTGACAGACACTATTTCACAACCATCTCATTACTTTAGAGAGGTTAGAAAACACTGCCAAGTGTTTATTTATTTATTTATTTTTTGGTTTTTCTCCGGTACTGGGAACCTAACTCACGACCTTGCGCTTGCCAGGCAGGCGCTTTTGCCGCTGAGCTAAATCCCCAGCCCCCAGCCCCTACACTGCCAAGTGCTGACAGCTGTTCTCTAATTTGTTTTTCTGTTGTTGTTTTTTTCTTCTGGTACCAGGAATCGAACTCACAACCTTGTGCTTGCCAAGCGGCGCTTTTGCAGCTGAGCTAAATCCCCAGCCCCTGTTCTCTAATTAATTACTTTATTTTTCTACTGCATTTCATTCTACAGCTACCAGGTTCTCAAGCTACTTACTATGTCCTATGATAACCCTGGAAACCATGGAGTGCATGCATCCCAGAAACTCACCATCTCACAGAGCTGTTACTGCCTATATCGAGACAGAGACCTTTAAAAGATTTATGTAGGCAAGAACATGGAAAGCAGAGTGAGGGGAGCATTCTAGTCATTGAAGGAGCTTCTTTACTACATGGGGTACTCAGGTGTAACACTTAGAAATTCAGAATGTGGTTCTGCTGGATGTAAATATTTTAATTATACCGTTAACATAAGTGTGGCTTGCTGTTGTGACCCAGATAACCATCTGGATTTTTAGATGGTTAGATTCAGTAGAATGAAACAAGTAGCTACATAACTGACTCATTTGGCCTTAGACGAGGCTCATGTTCATAATCTGCCATTTAAAATGGTTTATGGGGCTGGGGATTTAGCTCAGTGGCAAAGTGCCAGCTTGGCAAGTGCAAGGTTGTGAGTTCAATTCCGGGTACTGGAAGAAAAACAAAAACAAACAAAAAAAGATGGTTTAGTGTCTGAGGCCCTTAGAGTGTGACACAAGTTTATGGCCCATGGTAGCATCAAGTTGCACAAAGCTTACACTTCCTATGAACATCTGTGACAGCAGGAGTGCTTTGTGTTTCCATTGAGAAACACCTACGAGGTCACGCAACAGCTGAGCTCCATGTGAGCTTAACCATTCATTTAAATTTCAACTAGATTTAACTCAATAAATGTATACCTTAAAAATTCAAAATATAGAAGAAATGTATCAGTCCTATTTAAAATCAAATAGGTTTTAAGTTAAACTGTGAAGGTTTTATATGCATATATTCATTAAGCTCCATTTTCTAAATCGGGCTTTCCCCAGGTTTGCAAAAACGCTTCCAATTTGCTTTACTGACATTTCTGAAGAGTATTATTACAGCGATGTCACTGGACTAATATTCAAACATAGAAAGCATTCTGAGGTGTGACCCCCTTTTCCCTGGGGAAGGAATGTTCACAGACCAGCACTTATCAAAGGAAGGAAGCAAAGAAGAGAGGGAGGGAGGAAATAGACAGGGGAAAGTTTCAAAAGGAAGGGGGAGGAAAGCAAATTCAATGGTCGCACAGTCAATCCTTTAAAGAAATTTTTATAAGCACATAAGAAGGCTCGAGGGGATCAGTATTTACAGTTGCAGAAATGAAACACATACATTACCATTTGTCCAACACTTTTCTTTCCAAATTTTAGGGTTGTTTTGTAGGATTTTTTTAACTTGCTTTGCAAAAGTATAATCATTACTTACTCAGTTTTTAAAATTGTAGAAATGCCTTTGGAAAATATTTAAATTGAATACAATCTGATGTCGTAACAAGCGAAGATACTTCTATTTAAATGGAACCACACATTCATTTCACAACTGGAGAAAATGACAATATATTTTATAGCACCCTGTGGTAGACACTTTCAACACTAAGCCCAAGTGATCATTTTCATTCCAGAATGTTCTACCTCATATTAATGATGGCGAAGCACCCACCTCCTTCTCCAACATTAAGCCTTCTGCTCTGAGGTTCTTCTCAAATGTATTTCTCTTGTCATATTGTATGTTTGTCTTTCTATAAACCAGGATGTAATCAATTCGCTTTTTGCCATCTTTGAATAGAAGTCCACTGGATGCTATGTAATTCATGTCATTCTGAAAATAAAGCAATGCATTTTAGTTGTATAGTCACAGAAGCACAGATTTTTGTTAGAGTTGCTAGCAAAGCAATATAAAAATGTGGGGGTTTTTGATTGGTGTTGTTTTGTTGTGACAGGGTAGTCCAGCCCCAGCTTGAACTTGTGTTGTAGACCAAGCTATCCTCACGTGATCCTCCTGTTTCACTTTCCTCGTTGTTGAGGTTACAGGTGAGTGCCACCATGCCTGGACCTGTTTGTGTATTGCTATTGTCAGAAATGAAAAGATAAATAATGGAATCTGCAAACTACTCCAGGAGACAGACTAAGAAGTGATGTTCCAGAATTTGAAACTGGGGTTCAGTGATACTAGCAACCATATGTGTATACTCTGCTCAGTAAGGACCTATAAAATATTGTCTGGTATCAAGTGTCTTTACTATATTGTGTGCATACATAAGCACTCCCCATGTGTTAGTTTATTTAACTATTTACATTTAGCACTTCAAATATAAAGAGTGTAAAACCAAATGAACACATGTACCATAAAGTGAAACCAATCTAATTCCTGTGCTAAATACTCAGATGGACCTCACCTTCCTAAATTTAGGCTCTGCACTGCTGAAACCAATCAATTCCTGAGTTGCTTGCTTCAGGGAATACTTGCTTCTAGGATTTAGGACTGCACACCAAGTGGAGAAGTTTACTTATCACAGCTCACAGCTTGCTTATCAAAACTACATGACGTCCTTTGTTTGCTGCAACTAACAGTCCAAGCTATTTTTTGTAGACTCTGAGAAATATTTAAACCAGATTTCTGCCTTGAGAGATGAGACCTGGCTTACCCTGAGTCTCATCTCAGGTCCTGGAACTCTTTGAAAACTCTTTGCTAATTTTACCACTTTAAAACACTGCTGAGACTACAGAGATATTGTCTCAACTGTTCTAAGTAACTGATAAAAACCAGCTTTACTTAGGAACAAATTTCTCTGATGATTCCCTTAAGGGGCATTACAAGTATATTACCCCAAATCACAGAAGGACCAGGAATGGAGTCCAGTTTTGTTTGTCTTCCGGACCAACATTCTTAGCTATTATCTACCTGTCTTTCTTGCTTTTGATCCAACTATCTGGGTATCTGTCCCAACTCTATACTCTATGTTTCAATTCAGGTATATTTTAAATTTTAAAAAATCCTAACATCTGGAGGGTGAGTAGATATGTTTAGGTAAAAGAAATTCAGACTGATGTGGAGCGAGCCTGACTGGGATACACACATAGCTCCAGGAAAAGAAGAACCAGAGGAGCCAGGGTTCAAGGGGGAAGAAACCAACGAGTTACTGAGGTGGAGCTTCAGAAAGGATATGTTCAAGATATCCTTCGGGACTGTCATCCTCAAGGTTAGGTTATTTCAAGAGCTTTGGTGACCTCTCCTATTCAAAAATGATGGGTTTAATTTTGTGATTCACAATACTACAGACACCCAGGATTTGATATCTTATTTGGTGGTCTCCCCATTTATATTAGAAAAGACAAAAAGGTACATCTGAGTAGATATGCCTAACACTGAGGAGGTACAGCAGGCTCATAACAACAACTGCTAATACAACAACAAAATAATGACATGAAAGAGAGATGGGCAATTTTTAGTCATAGGTTGAGATTTGTGAAGGCTTTTGCTCCTACCATTCAGAGACTGTCTTCAAGGTCATAAGTGACACACTCTGATAAACACAGCATGCAGTTCTGTCCTCTGTCCTTGCACCTCACCTCTCAGCACTGAGCCTCTCTCTTACTTACTGCACATTTTTCTCTTGATGTCCGGTATATCACATACATTTGAATTATCTCCTATTTGTGTGCTCACCCACTCTCAGCTGTTTTTGTGGGGGGACAGGGGTGGGAAATGCAGATTGGGCCCAAAGCTTTGCACACACCAGGCTAGTGCTCTCTATCACCAAGCTATTCCCCTTAACCTTTCTTAAATTTTTATTTTCTCTTGAGACAAGTCTTGGTAAGTTTCCTGGGCTGGACTTGAGCTTGTGATCCTCCTGCCTCGGTCTCCTCAGTAGCTGAGATTACAAGCACACACCATCAAACCAGGATATTTTCTTAACATTTGATGATTTGTACCTTACTCTGGTTTGTTCAAGGATCAATCTGTTCTTTTGATTGGTTTTCTATACTCCCTTGCAATTTCTCCCAGTCTCCTGGCTCTAGATACCCATCCATATGCTGAAAACGCGTAACTAATAGTTACAGATTTGTGGATCCCACTGCCCTTTTAATTTCTTCACTTGAATGTCGAATGTGTATCTCAAAGTCAGCCGTCCAAAGTGGAATTCCTTATCTTCTCAGAGCAGGTACTTCTCACAGCCTTTTTTATTCTGATGGATAACAACACCATCCTTTCAACTGTTCAGCACAAATGTATTCAGTAGACTCTATTTCTTTTCCTTCTTATGTGTCTAACATTCAGATTATCAGAAAATCCTACAAAGTGACATTTAGAACCTGATCACCTCTACCACTTTTGGTACTACTGCTCTGGTCTTGTTATGGTTTAGATCTAAAGTGCACCCATCAAAGTGTCATATAATCACAGGTGGGACTTTTGAAAGGTGACTGGGTGGTAGGCGTGTAGCTGAATGTGCTCTTAGGAGAAGGCACCTGGTTGGAGGTGTCTCATGACCTGGAAGGGTTTATCCTTATGTCAGATATTCCCTTTGCTCCCTCATTTTTTGCTGCTATGGATTGAGTAGCTTTTCTCTACAGCCCTTGGACCAGGTTGATTTTGTCTTAGATCCAGCTGACTTTGGACTGAACTAATTAAAAACGGTGAGCCAAATAAACCTTTCCTCCTATAACCTGTAGGTGTAAAAGAAAATTGGTACCAGAGAACTGGGATTGGCCCAGAGAACTGGAGTCATTACTGTGACTATTCCTGACCACGAGGTCTGAAAGCCTTTGGAACTTGTTCACAGGAGGAGTATGGAAAAGTGGATAAGCAGGCTGGGGAGACTAAGTTTGATGGATAATTTCAGTTGGATTTTACAAGACCAAAATGCTGATGGAATGGGAAGAGCAAAGGCCAGACTCAGGAAGTCTCAGTTGTGAAGAAAGACTGTATTGTAAACCAGACTACAGGCTGTGCATGTTTCATCCTGGTAAAGAATTAGCCTATGTTTTTCCCTGTCCTGTGAATCTGTGTGATGCTTAATTTACAGGTTGGAGGCTAATTAAGGTGATAAGAAAAATTTAAAGGTAGCCCAATGTTCAAGTTGTAGCTTAGTAACTAGTCACTGCTGTTAGCCAGATTTATAGTGAGAATCTGAAGCAAAAACCAGAGCTGAGGGATATGAAACTTGACCACAAAAGAAAATGCCTAAAAATCTGGGGAAAAAGAAACTGTGGTTGCTTAAAAGATGACCATTAAAAATCAGCCAGGTCCTCTGCATTAGGGTAAGAGTAAAGATGGTGTGAAGGCATTTCAGACTTCAACAAGACCATGCCTGCCACAGGTTCATAATTGCAAACGTGTAAATTTCATTTGAAAAGAGAGCCCCCGATCCCCTGTTCAAGAAGGGCCACCCAGGTTCCTTGGGATTCATTTCACAATGCCAAACCATGCGAGTCCTCAGATGCATTTATAGCCATGATCCAAAGGACCTTGGCGAGTGCTGGAGTTGATGATACACCTTGGCATCATCTACTTGTTGCTGCTTTTACAGGCATGCAGAATGAAAAAGTTGTGCTGACTTCTACCCAGAATTCAAAGAAAGGCCTGGGAGGCCAAGGAATATTCCTTTGAGAGGACAACGTGTGAAGCCATGGGAGTGAAGCTGAAAGTGTAATGGAAACCCCAGAAAGTTAGAGATATCGGGAATACCGCCTTCCTCCTGAGGAAAATCTCAGGCAGTGAGTGGAACCAACTAAAAAGAGAGCTCATGTGAGCTATGAACAAGACCAGACTGGCAGGGCTGCCCACTCCTCCCGGAACTCACATCTCACCACCATGTGCCCCAGATGTCAGACATGTAGCTAGAGGGATTTCATGTTTGTCTTGCTGGGCTTGGATCTTGCTTAGTCCAATTTTTTAAATACCCATATTTTATCTTTTTGAAATGGGACGTCTTCCCAATGTGCTATTTTATGTTGGAAGTATTTAACGTTCTTTTTTATTTTTATAGTGGCCCATTGCTAAGGGTTTGTTTTGAGTCTCAGAGGAGATTTTAGATTTGGACTTTTCAGCAATCTGGAAATGTTAAAAGGTTGGTGACTCTTAGAATTGGATCAAATGCATTTTGCATAATGAGACGAACATGAGCCTTTTGGGGACCAGGAAAAGAATGTTATTGTCTGGATCTAAAATATTCCAAAGTCTCATGTAGCCTGAGGTGGAGCAGTTGAGATGTGATCGGATCGTGTGGAGGTACAGCTGAATGTTCTGCTGGTGGGTGGGGGTTGCTTGGGGTTGGGTTGCTGGGGAGTTGAACTGGAAATTATGTTCCATTCCCACCTCCTCCCTTTCTTTGCTCCCTGGTTGCCACGGGATGAGCAGCTGTCCTCCACCATGCTGCTTCGTCTTGGAACCAAGGGACCCTGGATTGAAGCTAGTGGAAACTGTGACCCACATAAACTTCTCCTTTGAACTGCAGATGTGGGGTACTGTAGGTCTCCAACCAGAAAGTGACTAATGCAGATCTAAACTCTTTGACTGGATAATTGCATTAGTCTGACTCACCTCCTTGATTTTTACCTTACTGTCCTCTACTCTGTTCTTAACATGACAGCTGAGATACTTGAGTGACCCCTCAACATCTTAGATGAGCTCATCCAACACTTTCCCTGCAGTTCTGCCAGAAACTCTCCATGGTTGCTTCTTTCTCTGCCTACTCCCTAATCTAGTTTTGATTACCACTTGATAACTGCTGACAGGCATTAGAACATGAAAAAATGTATCTATTAATTATAATATGTTTACTGAATGTCTCTTTCTGGTAGAATATGTACTTCATT